TATGTCGGTCTATACATTTAAAACGATCCCGTTGCAAACTAGAAAGGGGGTGAATGTCAAATTCTATGTGATATGACTTTATTGACCACGTAGGTCCTCTGATTTTCATTTTACGAACAAGTACGTAGGAGAAAAGAAAATTTATCCGTTTAATTCTATAGTAGAAATTAGATAATTCAAAACATTCATCGCTATAGCACTATAGTTTCAGTAGAAGTAAATATTTCCATTTACTGTTTTAGGATTTATCTCTAATTTGATAATGCGCTAGAAAGAAAGATAAATGTTACCGCCATGCAATTTCTATTGGTTCAGAATAGACACCAAACGCATGGCTGAACCCTGATTGGATCAGGCGCTAATGGACTCGGCAAACTAAAGTATGTCTGTCTAATATAAAAAATCATCGACCCCCCCCCTCCTGGCTCTCTAGCTACCGAAAAAAAGTCCAGGATTGAAGAAAAAATCTTTGTCTGTTGTACATACAGCGTACACTGTACATACGTACATACATGATGACGTATCTGTAATTGATGTATGTACATCTGATTTAAATACATCTTTACATGCAGTTTGATATTTGATATGTACAACATTAGTTACGGATAATTCTTTGAGCCACGGTACAATTGCCGCCAAATCTAAATTTGCCGCCAGGAGCAAGACGGGTTCAGATCTAGTTCTGGGTTGGACGAATGGTAGGAGAGAGAAGAGAACGGAGCGTGAAATTGTTTCTGTCACCTCTACTGTGTGTCTGATCCACATGATATACAGGTGGATATAGAGAATATAAAATAGGGCATCGTTATTATTTGTTTTTTTAGATTTTCAGGATAGTTAGTTGGCATTTTTTGGAAGACTTCACAAAAATCTACAAAGTCTTACGTAACTCAAACTTTAATTTTCAAACAGTTTTCTTTTATTGCGCAAAATGTTTACTCTGACAGGAAAACGAAACCTGAACGAAGCAAAATCAATCGTTCGTTATATAACAAACGAATATATAGATTTAAAATTCAGTGATGGTGGTGGACCAAACCTCTGTAGAGTAAAAAAGTAAATGTTAGTTCCACTAGATTATATCTTCTGGCACTGTGACCTCGCCAGGCTACATTTGTGGCATAAAACGTGCTGAGTCGACTTTACACTGGGTAGCTTGACTGGACAGTACGACTAACTGCATATAAAGTTACTTTTAGACTGGGGTTTTTAATTTTAGACTGGGGTTTTTAATTCAAGTTTGTGGAGTCTTCTGAAAGCAAACAAATCCTGGATGTAAAGAAGGATAATAGCGATGCCCAATCCTAGGTTGAGAACCCATGAAATCTTTCATCAAATATACGCACTCTCACGATAAAACGTCTATCTGAGTATTTTTTAGAGCAAAATAAGGATAAAAGAATTGAGTCTTTCTCACAAACTCTAATTTTCTAATCCCTATATCTTAATAACCTAATGTCATACCTTAGACAATGATATTTCAAACTATGAATTCTGATAGATCAAATCATCTAAAATTAAAATATCAAAGGTTTACACCAACAGGTTGCAAAGATACAGGGATTGAAAAATTTGAGTTAGATGCAAAGACTCAATTTCTTTAAATACCAGTTTTATTTAAAACTTGAAAAATCATACTTATTTTTTATTAAGTGCAAACAGACAATGTTGCACAAATAAAGAACAATTTTACTAAATAGGAAAATATTTTTAGTTACTATTACAATACGTTTAAAGCAGAATAAGTTTATATATATTTGTTTAAATAAAATTTAACTCTTATTGAAGGTATCAAAATCTGATTGAGTTATGTAGAAAGTGAATACTTCCATTGTCTAATCCCTATTATATTGCAAACCTATTAGGTATTTTAATTTTCTCATTTATCCAGCAGAATTCACAGTTTAAAATATCAGAGCTGGTTGGAAGGATTAAAAAAGATAGAAAATTAGAGTTTATTTCCTTTAGCCCGTTTTCAAACATATCTTTGGTTTATAACAAGCTTACAAAAAATGGTTGTGCTATAAAAATACTATATTGGCGAATCGAAAATTAACAATTAAAGAATTGATGGTTACAACTTTCATTGCTGTCTGATGTTTGATAAAAACTGTTCTACTGTTTTAAATTTGAGGAAAATCGGATTTATGAGTTATGATCGGGCATACAAACAAACACTAATACATGTGTTAACTTATACTTATAAAGATACCCAATTAATTACCCCTACACAGTTTAACAATCTATTTAAAATAAATTTTATTAATTTTATCTGAATTCAGCTTGAAGGCAAGTTAAGGCATATTTTCATTTGATAATTGTTTAAATATCTCTTTGTTTTTATATTATTTTATCCCTGCGGAGTAAAATGAAAAGTTCCCATGAAGTTTCAGCAAAATAGTTTCATGTGAATATAATTCTAAACGGGGGGGGGGGGAAATTCCCATGGGCCCCATTTCATTTCTGATTAAAATAACAAGACTAAAACCTCCAAGGCCCACCCCCGCTAAGGATTTCTCCACCTTGTTCACATGAGCAAAGACAAATTGAAATACAGACGGCACAGCCCTGAAAAATAAAAAAGCAATTGTTTTACAGACGGCGCAGTCCTCTCTGTGAAAAGACCAGTTGTTTCACAGAAGGCACAATCCTCTCAGAGCAAAGACCAATATTATCGTTGAAGAGGCAGTCCTCCCAGAGCTATGAGCAATGGTTTCATAGAAGTTGCAGTTCTCTCAGAGCAAAGACCAGATGTTTTACAGAATGCAAAGTATTCTTTAAAAACTGCAATTCTTTACATGCTTTACAGAAAATTATAAAAGATAAGGAATTTTAACCTCATTTCTTATGTTTTTGACCAACCCTGGGACTGGGTCTGTTAAAAGTGAGTGTCTTCGTCTCTGTTATGTTATCTATCCATCTCTGATACACTTTGCAGCCATTGTTTAAGGAACCAGTTGTTCCGTCTGTCTCCAATACACTTTAAATTTAAACCTGTTGCTCTGTCTCTTTCCATGGTTTTAGTACCCAGTTGCTCCGTCTGTCTCCAATACATTATAAACCTTTTGCTCCGTCTTCAATATATTTTATCTCTAGTTTAAGGATATGATTATATATATCTCCTATGTCTCAAGTATCCCTGTTCTCCGTGTACACTGGAGAACTGAAATATAAGAAGGAATCTTGAAAATGAATCTGTGATATGATGATCTAGGTCTAGGGATGTAATTACAGAGCTTGGAATCAAGGTTAGATTAAGAAATCTCATCTTCAGTTCTTCTCTTATATCTTCTCTTCTATAATATACGCAGAATAGATCAGTTACAAGAGGCGTAATTTAAATACTCTTCACAGACACTTTGGATCTCTTTGATATCAGGAGAGCTGCGTAATAAACGATTAAATAACAACAGCCATGATAAAAACTTCTATATAAATACATATATATGTTATTTTACCTCTTTTTTCGTTAGTTCGTATAATTGTTACATAATTTTCTTATGCTTAATAAAGTTTATGAAAATAATCTACTACCATGTATTCAGTCACTTCTATCTAGAAAAAAAGAAAATATAATCTAACTTGGTGTAAACAGTAAAATAGAAAAAGGAAATGCAACAATGTGCACCCACCCTCATTGCTGCAAAAGTTAGTATGTAATCATATATTTATAAAATATAACAAAAAATACAGAAGTACGTGATTAAGTAGAAAACATTTAAAAATCTCCAAAGAAATCTGAACACCTTAAAAGGGCATTATAGATGCAAATGTACAACAAATGCGTCACATTTTACTTCAATTTAATTACTATTTTTAAATTATTTATGTATATATATGTATTTATCTAAAAATATCCATTTGTTAAAAAGATATGGCGTTCTTCAGGGTTGTTGAATAACTTACAGTTACAATTTAATGCAGTACGCGTAATTTAAAATTGTCTAATCCCTATATCTTTTCAACCTTTAATGTTGTAAGCTATACTAAAATAAACACTTCTTCAAAAATAGATTCTAGTACAATAGATGGCAACGTAGAATTTGTACACTCTCAGTACAGCTGTATTCTGACATAACAAGTGTCATTCAAGTATTATGTCCGACAGAATTATTAATAATAGTGATAATTTTAGAATAAAGTGCTTATCTTGCAGTAAAATAAGTGCAATTTTATGTACTTTTTATTTTATATTTTTACACTTTTATATTAAATCTTGGAAGACATGTCAACCAATGTGAAAAAATTTCGTTTTCCTTGTTATATTTGACACTTGTGACGTCATGTATAATTGGTCCATTTCTCTGTTGCCACCTATTGTACTTGATATTCTATTTGCTTCTTCGTGTATTTGATCCTTTATTTGTCGCTACAACTTACAAATAAAACGACAATCCCTTTAATAAAGGTTAATATATATATTCTATGGTTTTAGTTTTAGAATTACTCACACTAATTCTTTTTGCGATGATAAGCTAGCTGAGTGCTGGAGTCACAAGTTTCAAATACAATTAAGTTTAGCTCTCAGAGCACATTGAAATTTATAAAACCAAAATATGCTTTAAAGGGAGTGTTTGCAAAACATGAATGGGGGAATCGTTTAATCGTATTTCTGAAAAAAAAAAACTGCTACATCTACATTATACAATCTTCATATATGGTTAATATCAGTTTAAAGACTTCTCTACACTTTAAAAACTTCTTGATGTACTTATAACTACACAACACTGTCAATATACGTTAACCTCTTGAATGTCATCAATGGAATGACGTTTATGACATTTATGCCGTTTATGCCGTTTATGCTGTTTATGACGTTTATGCCGTTTATGCCGTTTATGACGTTTATGAAGGTTTAAGCCGTTTATGACGTTTATGCTGTTTATGACGTTTATGCCATTTATGCCGTTTATGACATTTACGACGTTTATGCGTTAATAACGTTTATACGGTTTATTATATTTATGCCTTTTACGCCGTTTATGACATTTATGCTATTTATGCCGTTTATGACGTTTATGCCGTTTATGACGTTTCTGCCGTTTATGACGTTTATGTCGATAATGCCGTTTAGGACATTTATGACGTTTATGACATTTATGACGTTTATGCCGTTTATGACGTTTATGCCATTTATGACGTTTATGCCATTTATGACGTTTATGCCGTATATGACGTTTATGCCGTTTATGCCGTTTATGCTGTTTTTACCGTTTATGACCTTTATACCGTTTATGCCGTTTATGACGTTTATGCCGTTTATAACGTTTATGCCGTTTATGCCGTTTATGCCGTTTATGCCATTTATGACGTTTATGCTGTTTATGCCGTTTATGACCTTTATACCGTTTATGCCGTTTATGCTGTTTATGCCGTTTATTACGTTTATGCCGTTGATGACGTTTATGTCGTTTATGTCGTTTATAATGTTTATGCCTTATATGCCGTTTATGCCGTTTATAATGTTTATGCTGTTTATGACGTTTATGTCGTTTATGACGTTTATGCCGTTTATGCCATTTATTACGTTTACACCGTTTATGCCGTTTACGCCGTTTATGCCGTTTACGCCGTTTATGCCGTTTATGACGTTTATGACGTTTATGTCGTTTATGACGTTTATGCCGTTTTTGACGTTTATGACGTTTATGCCGTTTATGACGTTTATGCCGTTTATGACGTTTATGACGTTTATGCCGTTTAAGACGTTTATACCGTTTATGTCGTTTATGACGTTTATGTCGTTTATGACGTTTATGTCGTTTATGACGCTTATGCCGTATATGACGTTAAAATTTTCTGGTGTACTTTTTACTTAAACAATAGTGTCAATATATGTCCACCTGTTGTACCGTGTGCGTCATTAAAGAAATGACGTTTATCGGGATTATTTTCTTCTTTAAGGAGGAAACTGATCCATCACTCTTGAACCCGAACCTTCTATATTAATTTTTATAAAAACTGAATTGTGTTTTTGTAAAGAGACTGTGAACATAAATATTTACGTGAACCTTCATCTAATGTATTTAGCACATGGAGATATTTTTGATTTTCGATTTGAAAACTGTAAATCTTTAATTGCGACCATTCAAACAATCACAGCGAAGATAAGAGAGAAAATGGATGATATAGAAAATTGAAAACATCTCTGACAGCTTTTTGATGATAACATTCTTTAATTAAAGATCACTTAAAATTACTTGAAGAAAAGATATTTGCCAAAATAATTTTGTAAATATTTTTGTCTTTATGTTCGTTTGTTTGTTTGTGAGTGTGTGAACCGTTCTTAATGTATGTCTTGGCATTTTTCCATTAGAATGAGGTTGAGAATTTGTCCACAAGGTTGAACTAAACTCCAGGTCTGCTCCGACCCATGAAGGATGAAGAATGAAGGATGAAGGGGGGGGGAGAATATACAGAGTAATAACTCATAATTCTACTCAACCCCAAATGTTACGCTACACTCAGAATTCTGACATTTGGTACGCAAACACCCCCTCCCCCCTCACAACCCTCTCCCTTAGTTTTTTCCACCCCCTGCGTTTCCCAAGAACGCCCACTCTCACTTGGACCCTTTTCCGTCTAAACCCTTTCCCACTTCTTCATCTTTTATTCCCATTTCTGTAAATTGTTAAAATACAACTTAACAACACTCGACTTCCCATTTTACCCCACCCCCCGTAATCATCCTACTTAACCACCATACTTTCCTTCTTCTAGACCCCCCTACCCTCTCTTTATCCCTACTCCCCACCCCCCGTCTTTCGTTTAAAACTTCCACAAAATAAAGTTAAATGTTTAGAAACTACACTACACAACAAATTAATAATATATCAAGTATATTCAAGCAATTAAATCCAATTAGTGAATAATAACAATTTAGCCACTTAATTCCTTGCATTAATTACACCTTGATGTAATATTAACCAACTAGAGTGTCCAGCAATACATCATTAAAAACTCTGCAGGAACAAAATATAAACAATATTAAACCTTGAACATTTGAATTCGAGTTTTCCGATCCTACATGAAATGCATTATTTACAACTCTCACAACGGTCTAACCACTCAAAAATGTATCTGTGACCCAGAAAAGTAAAAATTGTCTGTAAAATGTTCATTTATCTCTTATAAAGATCTCACTGGTATCTCTTATAAAGCGACATACGGATTTATGCTGCAGAGACAATTAAGAATATTTTTCACTTTAGAAAAATGACAACATCTTCCATATTGTTAATCAGATAGCGTTTTAAGAAGGGTCCCCTTGTCAATCGAACATGTCACTCTATAAATGATAATGATAAAGAAGCTGCAAACCTGAAAAAAATCTTCAAAATTCAAGAAAACAAAATGTCACCAAATTTGTCTGTTATCTAAATGAGCCTTATATATAGAATAGTGTGTTAAGAATTTGTCTCGTATTACGATGAATCTCTGGATCAACTTTAACAAAGGTTCTAAACCAACATCTGTCATTAATCTGATAAACCATGTACTTTTCATCGCTAAACGGTTAGAACATAAAAATGACACATGAACGCAAATCAAAACATTTCCCAACATGAAATCCTTATATCTGGATGCTGAACAAGTTTTTATCAAAAAATGCTATTAAAATTATAAAACAAATTTTGATATAAAATGTTGATAGATAAAAATTTAACCCTTCCTTTGGTAAAATTGTATAAAAATGAATTTTTTCGCGTCACACCCATACCACTACTAGTGCTACTACCCAGAGAGGATTAAACCTGGTAATCTTGTGTACTCCGTGTCTGAGCTTGGATAGAGATTTGTATCCAGAGTAAACAAAGTCCCAACCAGAACAATAAGATTCATTCAAATTCCTGGTATCTTGGTTTCCTCATCTTATCAGGGTTTAAATACAAACTGTTCATCCTAGATACTCATCCGTTCCAGATCCTCATCATTCTTAGCATCCTCTTCCGTCATTTGTACTCATCCGTTCTTTGTACTCATCCGTCCTACATACTCATCTGTGTAAAATACTCATCCATCTCAGATCCTCATCATTTTTAGATCATCATTCGTTCCAGATCCTCATCATTCTTAGTATCCACATCCGTCCTTTGTACTAATCCGTCCTTTGTATTCATCTGTGTTACATACTCTTTAGTTCAAGATCCTCATCATTCTTAGATCCTCATCTATACTTGATACTCATCCGTCCTAGATCCTCATCCGTCGTAGATACTCATCCTTCCTAGATACTCATCCGTCCAAGATACTCATCCATCCTAGATACTCATCCGTCCTAGATACTCATCCGTCCTAGATACTCATCCTTCCTAGATACTCATCTTTCCTAGATACTCATCCTTCCTAGATTCTCATCCTTCCTAGATATTCATCCTTCCTAGATACTCATCCTTCCTAGATACTCATCCGCCCTAGTTACTCATTCATCCTAGATTCTCATACGTCCTAGATACTCATCTATCCTAGATACTCATTCGTCCTAGATCTTCACCCGTCTTAGATACTCATTCATCCTAGATACACATCCGTCCTAGCTCTTCACCCGTCTTAGATACTCATTCATCCTAGATACTCATCCGTCCTAGATACTCATCTTTATCATACTTTCCTAACTTACTTTATCCGTTACATATTTAAACATTCTCATTTTCCATTCTCTCTGCCTACTCATAAATTCTACAATATAGTTCTCCACTTCTTCTTTTCTTTTCATTTTCTTTCCTCCTCCTCCTTTACTTTTTCCTCCTTCTCTTCTATTCTATTTTTCCTGCTCTTTTTTCCTTACTTAACTAATCCTTTTTCCTTTACTCACTCATTCTTTGATCATCGATTTTTTTTCTTTTCTCCTCTTTCCTCGAATAATTCCTCTATTCTTTCTTTATTAATCCTTTCCTCCTTTTCTCTTCATTCCTTTACTCGTACTTTCCTTTTCATTCTGTTGTTTCTCATTCCTGTACTTTTTCTTCTCTTCTTTTCCTATCTTTCTCTTCTCGTTTACTTTGCTCACACTCTTCTTTCTTAATCATCAATAACTTCATTTTTCTCACTCCTTTCTATACTGAACCTATTATTTTTTATTTTTTATTTCTTTTGTTAGTTTTCTTCCATTACTTTTTTACCCTTTCTTTTCTTTTATCAAATTCAAAGTAAAGCCTTCAAGCCTAGGCTTAAATCTCAAATTAGATTTCTAGTGCAAATCAAATATATAAGAGACAAATTTTTTTTTCAACTCTTTTAATATTTTATTACAGACTTACGTTCTACATATTGTAAAATAAATATGAATATTGTTTGGTTATTCTTAGAGCAGATGCACCGTTATTTTCTCAGGAATATTTAGATTCGATTTCTTTTCTTTTCATGTTTTTGAGCGCAGACAATGTTTTTACGCGGCAACAATAGACTGCACTGTCTGGACCAAAATGGCGGAATCGTCTTTGTTGTTGTTTTCTCTGTGAACCCCGTTACTCCAGGATCTCTTGGTAATCTGGAGATGAAACAGCAGGATATCTATCTTGTAACACGGGTTTACTTAATCTAACAATGGCCTTTCCCAACATTTTACTTCAGTAATCCCTTGCTTTTACCCCCTTTAGGTACCCCTTTAAACCCTCTACCCCCCCCCCCACTAACACGAGAATGAAAGGTTTTTTTTATTACTTTTTTCAATGTTGAAACAAGCTTCCGTCCTTGTTGGGTAATTGTTTTTTTTTATTTATTTTGTTAAATTGTGGCATGATAAATTATTCTTTGTAATTGGCTTTTTTGAAATTGTTTAAGCTTTTAAATTGAGAAAATTGAGTAAGTGAACATGAAAAATGTGAATTTCTGTTGAAAATTATACTTACTTATAAATAGTATGTTATTATAAAAACTTGGGGCAATGATAAATTATATTGCGAGGTTCAAATTAGTAACATGTGCACACATACCAACTCCCCCTCCTCTTTAGGTCNTCTCCTCCTGTCCCCACAAACCCTCCGGGAGGTCTTTCTCACGGAGTCGGAGCAACCTGTAGCAAGACCTTGATACAGAGTTTACAACGCGGAACGAAGCATGTTAGCGTTCCTTGACTCAACGTTCCATAGGATCAAGTTCCAGAGTTTATAGATTTTAGGCCTTCGAACTTTATCCTTCACTAGCTTCAGACTTTTTATTAATTCGAATGATTTTGCAGCGTCTCCTTTTCCTTCAGTTTCTCTAGGTCCTCCAGTCCTCCTTTCTAACCTAATTCATTCTTTTCCTCTATTTACTCTAGCTCACCCAGTTCCTCTAGCAAACCTAATTCCTCCCTTTCCCACAGTTCCTCTAGCTTTCCAAGTTCCTCTAGCTCCCCCCCCCCCCAGCTCCTCTAGCTAACCTGATTCCTCTATTCACTATAATTCCTCTAGCTCCCCCAATTCCTCAAGCTAACACAATTTCTCCATTTCCTCTATTTACTCTGGCTCCCCCTGTTCCTAAAGCTAACACACTTTCTCCATTTCATCTATTTATTCTGGCTCCCCCAGTTCCTCTAGCTAAACTAATTCCTCCCTTTCCTCCAGTTCCTCTTACCTTAATCTTCCATTTTCTTCAGTGTTAAGTGTTCCTCTAGCTAACCTTATTTATCATTTTCTTCTAATTCCTCTAGCTCTTCTTGTTCCTCTAACTAACATAATTCCTCCATTTACTCTAGTTCCTCTAGCTCCCCACGTTCCTCTAGCTAACCTAATTCCTCCATTTACTATAATTCCTCTAGCTACCCCAGTGTTCCTCTAGCTCCCCCAGTGTTCCTCTAGCTCCCCCAGTGTTCCTCTAGCTCCCCCTCAAGTTCCTT